GATTCCTAAGGGATCCCCTAGGATTCCTAAGGGATCCTATAGGATTCCTAAGGGATCCCATAGGATTCCTAAGGGATCCCATAGGATTCCTAAGGGATCCTATAGGATTCCTAAGGGATCCCATAGGATTCCTAAGGGATCCTATAGGATTCCTAAGGGATGCCATAGGATTCCTAAGGGATCCTATAGGATTCCTAAGGGATCCCACAGGATTCCTAAGGGATCCCATAGGATTCCTAAGGGATCCGATAGGATTCCTAAGGGATCCCATCGGATTCCTAAGGGATCCCATAGGATTCCTAAGGGATCCTATAGGATTCCTAAGGGATCCCATAGGATTCCTAAGGGATCCTATAGGATTCCTAAGGGATGCATAGGATTCCTAAGGGATCCTATAGAATTCCTAAGGGATCCCATAGGATTCCTAAGGGATCCTAATTAGGATTCCTATAGGATTCCTAAGGAATCCTATAGTATTCCGAAGGGATCTTATAGGATCCTATAGGGTCCTATAGGATCCTATAGGGTCCTATAGGATTTCTAGAGGATCCTATAGGATTTCATAGATTTCCTATAGGATCCTATAGGATTTCTATAGGATCCTATAGGATTTCCTATGGGATTTCATAGGATTTCTAGAGGATCCTATAGATCCTATAGGATCTTATAGGATCCTAGCAGAGCTCCTCATAGAGCTCATAGAGCTCCTCTATGGGATTCCTAAGGGATCCTATAGGATTCCGAAGGGATCCCACAGGGTTCCTAAGGAATCCTATAGGATTCCTAAGGGATCCTGTAGGATTCCTAAGGGATTCCATAGGATTCCTAAGGGATCCCACAGGGTTCCTAAGGAATCCTATAGGATTCCTAAGGGATCCTCTAGGATTCCTAAGGGATCCCATAGGATTCCTAAGGGATCCCATAGGATTCCTAAGGGATCCTATAGGATTCCTATAGGATTCCTCAGGAATCCCATAGGATTCCTAAGGAATCCCATAGGATTCCTAAGGGATCCTATAGGATTCCTATAGGATTCCTAAGGAATCCCATAGGATTCCAAAGGGATCCTATAGGATTCCTATAGGATTCCTAAGGAATCCCATAGGATTCCAAAGGGATCCTATAGGATTCCTATAGGATTCCTAAGGAATCCTATAGTATTCCTAAGGGATCCTATAGGATTTCCTATAGGATCCTATAGGATTTCTCGAGGATCCTATAGGATTCCTCAAGAGCTCGCTGCACCGGTGCGCACACGCGTCGTGCTGTCAGAATCCGCATGGAGGACGTAGCGTTGAGAGCTTGGTCTGTGGAGGTAAGCTTTCGGGGTTGCTGGGGGTTGCTGGGGTTGCTGGGGTTGCTGGGGTTGCTGGGGTTGCTGGGGTTGCTGGGGTCCCGCGGTTGCCTCCGGGCCGGTCAAGTCGGCCTTGTCCCAAGGGGAGGAGGCGCTGTGGAGCTCCCCACTGGACGGGCCGGTCAACTGCGCCTCGTTCTTGTTGTTGTTGTTGTTGTTGTTGTTGTTGTTGTTGTTGTTGTTTCATTCATTTCTAGAGAATATTGTTGTTGATCTCCGGAAGCGGTTCTGGGCGCTCTCGCCTCGACGCCGGTTACATTTCTCTGAAAACGAGGCTCCCGCTTGAGCGTTGGTTTGAGTGTAAAAGTGGGCCCGTGGGGGCCCGGCTACGACGACAACGGCTCCCGCTCGATGCTTCCGCGAGACACCCTGGCCAGAAAGGCCCCCGAACTCAGGAACGGCGCTCACGCTCGAGACCTCCTCACAATTCAGTCAAGTTGGCGGGGGCCCAGTCGATACTTCTTCACGATTCACTCCGGGAGCCCCTGGCTAGGAAGGCCCACGAACTCAGGAACGGCGCTCTCGCTCGAGATTTTCATGATTCAGTCAAACTGGTGGAGGCCCAACTACGACGACAAGGGCGTATTCGCAGAGGCCCTTGCCAGAGAGGCCCCCGAACTCAAGAGTGGCGCTCTCGCTCGAGTCTCTCGTATTTCAGGCAAGTTGGTGGCGGCCCAGACACGGCGACAAGGGTTCCCGTTCGGTATTTCTCAAGATGTATTCCGAGAGGCCCTGGCGAGAGTCCTCCGAACTCAGGGACGGCGCTCTAGCTCGAGAGTTCAGATGTTCCCCCCGAAAGGGGGTGTGATCGAAAACGAAGTGGGCGGGTATCGACGGTTGGGGTGTACAGAATGCAAGACACGCGAGCCAGTAAGAGGCAACAGTGCCAAAATGATTGTTGTTGCTGTTGTGGTTGAACTCCCACAATTGAAGAATAATTATTGTTGACCCCCCCTCTGGTGTACATTGTATTTTTCAATTGAAGTGCCCCTCCTGGCGCTCGCACTCTTTTTTATATCAGGGAAAATATTCTTCCTCAAATTGCCCCTGGCCCCCGGGTTTCAGCAACAATGGCTCCCGCCTTCGACTCTCTCACAATTTAGCCAGGACCCCCGCTCCCGCCTGAGACTTCTTCGCATTGTATTCAGAAATCGCGCTCTCGCATTGGACTTCCTTACAATTTATTCAGGAACCGCTCTTTCGGCGCTCTGGAGTCGCGCTCTCGCTGGAGACTTGCTTGCAATTTACTCCAGAATAGCGCCCTGGCGTTGGAATTTCTTGCAATTTACTCGAGCGCCGCGCTGCCGACACTCAGGCGCCCAGGAGTCGCGCTCACGCTTAGGACTCCATCACAGATTATTCAGGAATCGGGATCTCGCTGCCCTGCGTGGCCCCGTTGCAGCCCTTCGTGGCCCCCTCGCTGCCCTTCGTGGCCCGTTGCAGCCCTTCGCGGCCCCTCGCTGCCCTTCGTGGCCCCGTTGCAGCCCTTCGTGGCCCCCTCGCTGCCCTTCGTGGCCCCGTTGCAGCCCTTCGTGGCCCCCTCGCTGCCCTTCGTGGCCCCGTTGCAGCCCTTCGTGGCCCCCTCGCTGCCTTTCGTGGCCCCGTTGCAGCCCTTCGTGGCCCCCTCGCTGCCCTTCGTGGCCCCGTTGCAGCCCTTCGTGGCCCCCTCGCTGCCCTTCGTGGCCCCGTTGCAGCCCCTCGTGGCCTCCTCGCTGCCCTTCGTGGCCCCGTTGCAGTCCTTCGTGGCCCCCTCGCTTTGTTTCGTGGCCCCGTTGCAGCCCTTCGCGGCCCCCTCGCTGCCCCTCGTGGCCCCGTCGCAGCCCTTCGTGGCCCCGTTGCAGCCCTTCGTGGCCCCCTCGCTGCCCTTCGTGGCCCCGTTGCATCCCTTCGTGGCCCCCTCGCTGCCCTTCGTGGCCCCGTGCAGCCCTCGTGGCCCCTCGCTGCCTCCGTGGCCCGCTGCAGCCCTGCGTTGCAGCCCTGCGTTGGCCCCTCGCCTGCCCTCCGTGGCCCCCGTGCAGCCCCTTGTGGCCCCTCGCTTGCCCGTCGTGGCTTCATATAGTATGCCCTTGTGGCCCCCTCTCGTTCGCGCCCGTGTGGCCCCAATGCATGCCCTTCGTGGCCACGCTGTCGCCTCGTGGCCCCCCTCTGCCCTTCGTGGCCCCGTTCTGCCCTCAGTGCCCCGTCCTTGCCCTTTCGCGGCCCCATATGTATGCGGTCAGGGTTTGGCCCCCCACCCCCCCAATGCTGATTGCCATGGCCCCCCCCCCCCCCGCGCGATGGTCCCCCCCGCCGCCCCCTGTGGGCGTGGCGTGGTGCTGCGCTGCGGTTCCCCCCCCCCCTGTGGATGTGGTGTGGTGCTGTGGTGGTTCAGAGGTGGGCGTGGCGTGGTGCTGCGCTGCGGTGCCCCCCTCCCCCCCCCCTGT